GAACCTGGGATAGGCAGATGTTGTTGTTTGATGGTGTTAAAGGCATCATCATCATCATCATCATCATCATCATCATCATCATCATCATCCCCTAATTTTAATTGTCTCTCCAGGTAGACTTTGGCACCCTTTCAGTCTGTAGGAGAGGGATGTTTCCATGTACTCAAAGAAAGGTACATATCCCTATCCTCATCCTGAGCTGGTGGAGCAGTTGGGGTTTGCCACTTCACAAACTGCTGTTTTGGGGACAGCTGCTTTCACAATTTTTGCAAAACTGCATTGCTTTGTTTGTCAGTTTTTCTTTGGGAGTGCCTGCAGCTAAGTCCCACCACATTTGCAAACACCTTACCTTCATGGGATCTTGTTTCTGTTCCTGTGCAGTAGGCACTCTCTCAGACTTTCTCTGCTACTCAGTAAACTGATCTAACTCAGCTAAGCTGTTTCCTACAATGTAAATCAACCTACCCACTAAAGGACTCAAGGTGGAAATTGGAGGTCCCTTCCAGTTAATTGGGGCTGTTGGTAAGATACATTCATGTCAGAAGTAAAAACAATATTGTCTGTTCCCCCACTTCATTTGAAAAACATTAGACTAGGGATTTTCCCCTAACCTCTCTTGCATTTTTGGTCAGTCTTGACCCCTAGCATTGTCGGCAACTCTTTCGAAGTGGCTTGCCAGTACCGCCTTCCTAGGGCTGAGAAAAAATAACTAGTCCAAAATCATCCAGTTGGATGCTGTGCAACAAAAGCAGGACTAGAACTCACAGTTTCCCAGGGTTTTTTTTATAATAACTTTATTAGATATTTTAAAAGTGGAAAGAGAAAAACTAATAAGAATTAATAAGCAAGACAGTGAATAGGAAAAAGGAAAAAAGAAAATGAAAGAAAGAAAGTGCAGAAAAAGAAAGAAGAAAGAAGAAAGAAGCAGAAATATTAAAAAATGACTTTAGAGCAGATATAAGTAAAACATACATTAAATTCTTACTCTAAAATTTCAACTTAACATCCATTTTTCTATAATCTATTAATTTTACTAATCGTCAAATCCATATATCATAATTTCATTTTTTTCTGTTGCCCACAAAAAGTCCAAAAGGGGCTTCCAATTAGCATTAAAATTATCCAATGTCTTTTCTCTAATCAAAGCTGAATTTTGCCTTCTCAGCTAGCTCCATCAATTTTACAATCCATTCTTCCATTATAGGTAATATTGAATCTTTCCACCTTTGAGCATATAAAAGTCTCGCTGCAGTTATCATATATAAAACAAAGGTCCATGAGATTTTTCCAATTGTTTATCCATTAGCCCCAAAAGAAATATCTCTGGTTTTGATTGTATATTAATCTTCAAAACCTTCTGAATTAATATATGTATTTGAGTCCAAATTTTTTTAGCTTTATTACATGTCCACCAAAGATGATAAAAAGTCCTGCCTTGTTGTTCACATTTCCAACATAAATTTGAAGTCCCTTTATACATTTTTGACAATTTTTCCAGTAACAGATACCATTAATACATCAATTTATAAAAATTCTCTTTAAGATTATAAAATAATGTACATTTCAACCCTTTCTTCCACATATTTTCCCATTGTTCCATTTGTATAATATATCCAAAATTTTTAGCCCATTTTATCATACAGTCTATAACTTATTCATCTTCTATTTCAAATCTCAACAAAAGTTTATACATTTTAGCAATAAGATGTTTATCATTAGTACATAACTCCATTTCAAATACAGTTTTATCATGTTCAAAACCACTTTTTTATCAACTTTAAATCTTTCTATTAATTGTACATGTGAAAACCATTGACACATATATTCTTCTGATGTCATATCTTCTCTTGATTTTATTTTAAATTCACCCTGGTAGAAATCTAAAATGTCACAATAAGTTAACCATTTCTGCTTAATTACCATTTCTCTTCTATAATATGCTTCTTGTGGTGATAACCATAAAAGTATTTTCGGACACAATCTAGATTTATATCTATTCCAAATTCTCAAAATGGCATGTGTAATAAAATGGTTTTTGAAATCTACATTAACCTTAACTTTGTCATACCATAAATAGCCATGCCATCCAAATCTCAAACCATGTTCTTCTAAGTCCAATAGCCTTCTGTTTCTCAGTGTCACCCAATCTTTCATCCAGCAAGCTGCAAAATACAATTTCAAATCAGGTAAACCTCCTCTTTCTTTGGCATCTTGCAACACCTTATAAACCCACCAAAAACTTGTGGGTTTTTGCCTTGCCACACAAATTTAGATATATCCTTCTGCCATTGTTTAAATGTTAAGTCAGTAGTCACAGTTGGTATTGTCTGAAACAAAAATAACTTCCTAGGCAAAACATTCATTCTTATCACAGAAATTCTTCCCAACTCTGACAGTTGTAGCTTCTCTCATCTTAACATGTCTTTGTTAACTTCATTCCATGTCTTAACATAATTATTCTGAAACAACATATAGTTCATATTTGTCAAATTAACACCCAAGTAGTTTACTTTTTTCTCAATCTTGAAACCTGTTTTGTTCATCAATTCTATTCGATCTTGTGTCTTCCCAGTTTCCCAGTTTCTAGCCTGGTGCTTTCAATCTCTACACCAAACTGGCTCTCCACAAAAAAATTGTTAGCCCTTCCTTTCCTTGGCTTCAAAAGAAAGGAAAGGGGGAAAAGTACACAAATTTGACAACAATCTGCCATTCCTTTTGCAGAGGAAAGAAGTTCCAAATGCACGTACTGAATTACATCTTAAAACAAAAGCATATCATCTTCATCTCTTTTGTTCCCTTGTCTAAAATGCCCTCAAATGCATTACTAAAGACAAAAAGTGCAGTAATCAACCAGATTTTTACACACAACATACGCTCACTTACAGCAAGCCAACTGGACTGACAACAATTGAATCTCCTCTCCCTTGGGTACCTTCCAGTGCCTCCCTCAGAAGAGCCTGCTGATCTTCTCTTAAAAGCAGTCATCTTTTTGGCTTGCTGTGGCACCTTCCTCTGAGTAGCTTCTAACTGTTCCCACACATTATGGAGCGCAGTAAGAAAGGCCCATCCAAGCCCCGCCACTGTCTCCTGTCCCCCTTTCTCTCCCATTGCTGCACACATTTAAGCACTACGTCGGGAGCTGAGCCTCCAAACTCTGCCAAGTCAGAATCCCATGACACTGGTGGGGTCAACCGGTTCAACATTTGAGCCACTGGCCTCCAAGCACTTGTGCTGGGCCAATCAGGGATGTGGCTGTGGCCACTTCCATCTTGCTCAGCAAATCTCTTTCCCCACCAGGGCATTGTCACTGAATCCTGTTCGTGACGCCAAAAATGTATTGCCAAGTGCCAAGCAGTGGCCAGGTGCCAGTCAATTGGTTCTTTGAGGATCCAGAGACAATAAACACACCAGTAAGCAAAGAGATTTTAAGCTTTATTGTCAAAATTAGCAGGCAGATTTAAACAAAAACACAAAAGCATAGCATATCAAGCAAGATGATAACACATCTCCCTTCACCTATCAGGAGCCCCAGTGGAATGACAGCAGAGACCCCAAGACAACCAGTTCACACAGCACCCAGCTTCAGGTCTGTGCTGAAACTCCCAGCTCAAAGGGCAATACCAGGGTCCTATCAAACCTGGTACCACAATCTCATGACCCTGTTTCCATGGTACTGAGATTGCAGGACCTGACCTTGGCACCTGTTCCTGGAATGTAAACCAAGAGCCTGGGAACTGTACGGATAACTTTGAGGTCCTTCTACAACTGTGTGAAGATTCCTTCCTTCTCTTTATTTCCCAAGCAAGAGCAAAAAAAAAAAAAGCAAGCTAAACATTATTATCACTCAGAATGAACTCTAAGCTTCTAGAATCTTCTTAAATGAAGGAGAAATTTAAAGATGTAACTATCTTCTCGAAATACAATGGTCTTCTGTGATGTCACTACAATGGCAACAATAACCGTTCAGTCTAGAGAACACATGCTAGTTACCCAATAGATATGTAGCTCAACAGAACTGGCTTTGACATTGATTAACTGGGAGAATCAGCTGTGCTGAATGAAAGCCCCCCGGTCCCTCTACTGGACACATGCCCTTTTTTTCCCAGGCTGTGACAGAAAGTCTTTGTATCAAATGGTTTTTTTTTTTTTTTAAATGCATTGACTTAATCACAATTGCATAGGCAAGACCATTTTTATCTAGATGCACAAGCATACTAAATATACAATGTAAAAAAGACAGATGCAGGTAAAAGGAAAAAAAATCAACATTTTTGCTACTTCAATTTCTCTCTAAAGTTTCTGTTCAATTAAAATGGTGGCCTCATCTTTCCAAATGCCTGTAACTAAATTTTTATTTGGACAAATGTAGAAGAGGAGATTTTGTGTAGTATTTACAAAGTACTCCATAGATACAAACCAGCAGATTTAGTTCAAAAATATGCAATGTCCTGTTCTTAGGAATATTATTTCCAGATGTTCAGGATGTGATATATCTTGTTCAGATGGTTTAGATGGAGGACAACCTGGATATCACACTGTCTCCCCTCCCTTTTAAAAAAAAATAATAGGAAGGAGGGAAATCAAAAGACCAGTTGCACAACTTGAAGAAATGTCTTTTCTGAGAAATGGACAGATCTTTTTAAAATGACATTAACAGCATTGCCAAATCAAAGCTAAGAGTGATCTTTACAGTTTTTGATGTATCACAATGGAAGATGCCAGGTTGCTGAGCCAGAAAAACATTTTAGTTCTCTTTTCTTCTAGCAGGCAAGTTTATTATAGAGTGGTTGAAGTGTTACCGGAGGAAGTTGAAAACGTGGATCCCTTCCTATACCGAATCAGGATTTCTTTGCTGATGATACCTCGTGAGATCAAGATCTTGAGGAAGTTGTTCCGGAATTTCTGTCCTATAAAGGCATATATGAAAGGGTTGATACAGCTGTGAGCAAATCCCAAAATCTCGGTACCTAACAAAGCATCGTCAATTCTGTTACGGACTAAGCAGGTGTCAGTAATGACGCCAGTCCTCAAGAAAGTATCAAAAAGCAGGGCGATGTTGTAGGGCAGCCAACAGAACAGAAAGATCAGCACTACAGCCAAGATTACTCTCATTGCCTTCTTCTTCTGGTTGTTCTTTGTCTGGTAGAGTCTGTGCAGAGTTATACCATAGCAAATTATCATGATTTTCAAGGGGAGGAGAAAACCAAACACCTGTGGCAAGATTCTCAGTACTACCCTCCATTCAGCTGTTCGATTCCCTCCAATGTCCTCATAACAAACCATGTGAGAGGAATTTGGAGATGGAAAAACCTCCCGGAAGCAGATCACAGGAAGGGAACAGAGGAAGGAGAACAGCCAGATGCCAATGCAGACAAATTTGACCCAGTGCCTCTTCTCAGTGGCTGCCCGAGTAGCATAAACTATTGCCAAATACCGATCAAAACTGATAAAGGCCAACAGGAGGATACCGCTGTAGAAGTTGACTTCCTTCAGGACTGAGATGATTTTGCACATGAAAGTGCCAAAGATCCACTCATGAACGCGATACACAGCCCAGATTGGCAAGGTGAGTGCGAAGAGAAGATCGGCAATAGCCAGGTTCAGGAGGTAAACATCAGTAACAGAACGGTTTCCTTTGTTGTAGCTCACCACCAGAATCACCAAGGAGTTGCCCAGCAGGCTCAAAATGCAAACCAGGATATAGATGAATGCTACAATGTACTTGATTGAAACTGTTACATTTTGTGGCTGGCAAGGTTCTGCAGAGAAACCATCGGGGCCAAGAGTATAATCTAAGTTATAAGTATAATTCTCTAGGAAGCCTTGATCCTTCAGATTTATAAGATCTTCTCCACTGATTTCAGATGATGCCATCCTGGATCCTTTACTGTAAGCCTGTGTAGAACAAGAAGCCAAGACAGGTGAATACCGTATTTTTCCATCTATAAGATGCCCCCATGTATAAGACGACCCCCACTTTTCCAA